CCCCTGGCAAACCGGGGGGTTTGGCAACCCTAATGTTCAGCCTGTGCAATGTTTTGACCACTGTTTACTCGGGCAAGAGTCAATGTGTCCACAACACTCTGCTGGGAAAGGAAAACGGTTAAAATGGTCTGCTCAAAAAGACTCACAGATCCTAGATTCCAGAATGCTTTGGAGGATTTTAGAATTCCAAACAAATGCTCAATTGAAGGTACAGGGGGATCTTGGAATATGAAGCTCCTCACAACTATTGACAAGATTGTGGCTTGTTGACCTCTACTGCCCCTGAGGCAGAGCCTAAGCTTGTGGTTTACCACAGAGCTGGGCTGGAACATGTCCACCATGTGCTGGTGGAAAACCTGTACTGGATCCAACAAAACGTGTTATGGGGATCATTGGAAGACCTATAAAGCAGTATTGGCAGTGGCAAAGAAATGTTACTTCACTTTTTCCATTAAACCACTTTTTCCATTAAATCAATTCGTTCACAACCATCCCAATAGTTTAAGGTATCTCAGTGTCTGTTATCAGCTAAGAACAAAAAGTTTATTGAGACATTGATAGGATCCAGCCTGTATGGTGGCTGTGTTAGAACTGAATAGGGAGGCATGAAAGCAATAGATAAAGGTTCAAACAGGGACCCTAAAAGGTTACAAGCCAATCACTTCCAAGTATTCCACCTGCCAAAACCAACAGCTCTGTATTCCCACCTTGGTGACATCCCCCCAACACATAGACAAAAGCCAGACAGTGTAAGCTGAGAATCAAGGCTGGTGGATGTTCCCAGGCATGCTAATCTACAATCTACTTCAAAGTGAAAGCATTTAGAATTTACACTCTCCGGATACCCCTCCCAACTTCTATGGCAAGCAAGCAATAAAATGGAAAGCGAGTTTGACAACTATGGGACAAAAAAGGGCTGCTGGCTTTAGACCAAAGACATCTCTGACTATAGACAAAGGCCATGTCTCCTTGTTGCTCCTACTGAATTTATCTGTGGCTTCTGATTCATATCATCTTGGTGAGATTTCTGGAGACAAAAGTAGGTACCAGGGAAAGTACTTGGGATTGGCTTATATCATTCCTTATGGATCAGACTGAAAGGGTTGCCATTGGAGATTGTTATTAGTGTGGGATTTGTCCTGTATCCAGAAGTTGCAGTCCTACCCCCAATGCAATTCAATCTCTATGCAAATTCGTTAGGAGAAATAGTTCATAATCTTGGAATTGGGTGACATCAATGTGCTAGCAACATTCAGCTCTATATCTCTATATTCAAATCTCCTAGTGATGCGGTAGATTGAACCACTGCCTGTCTATTGTGAACAAACCAAAAATAAATTCTGACAAAACAGGGGCAATGCTGGTTGGGAGACTGAGGTTTAGAAGGGTACTGTGCTTCCCACTTTTGATGCAGTTCAGTTGACCCTTGCTAACTTGGTTAAGAGCGTAGAAGTTATACTGGATTTAGCGTTAATGCAGCTGCAAAACACCCCAAAACTCATTTTCTTCCAACTTCTTTTAGCCCGGAAGATGGCCCCCTACCTTGATTTGGCTGATCTGGTCATCTGGTAACACCCATGCTATGGTACCATCAAGACTAGCATAATGTCCCTGTATATGTATACCATTGAAGTCAACTCTCGGACTCCAATTAATATAAAATGCTGTAACTCAATTATTATCAAAAGCTAGGTGGAGCATTCATATTACCCCTGTTCTTCAGCTGCTCCATTGGCAGCTCATCAGTTTCTGGGTTCAGTTAAAGGTACTTGCTATCACATACTAAACCCTTCATGGCCTTGGTCCCTCATATCTGAGGAACTGTTTTTTTTTTTTCCCTATGCTCCACCACGATAGCTTCAGTCGTCTGAGCCGGGCTTTCTGGGGTTTCACCCTGCTAATGGGCAAGATCAACACATACATTCCCTTTTGTGGCCCCTAACTTGTAGAATGGCCTTTCTGTAGTCGTCAGGAAGGCTCCTATGCTTCTGTCATTCCACAAACTATGTAAAACAGAATTATTCCAGAGGGCCTTTTTAGAAATGTAATAGGGCTATTTTATAACGGAACAGTCCAGGAAAGTTCTTTTACATATTGTATACTATGGACTATACCACTGTGTACAGTATGTAATTTGTTTGATGTATTTTTATCCTGCTCTTGTTTTCTAATTATGTTATACCATTTTCTGCATTGTTTAAGGTATCATATCTAAAACTTTCTGTTTTGTTGGAAATTTCTGTAACCCAAGTCCTATTACAGGTTTACATCAGGACCACACAGTGTAGCGTTCAGACAAGAATAAGAGAACATGAAAGACACTGCAGACTTGGCCAACCTGAAAAATCAGCAGTGGCTGAACATAGCCTAACTCACAGGACACGGTATTTTGTTCCAAGACACTGAAAGGCTGGACAACACATCCAATTACCATGTCAGATTACACAGGGAACCCATTGAAATTCATAAACATAAACACAATTTCAACAGGAAAGAAGAGAGTTTAAAAATAAATAGGGCATGGTTTCCTGTCCTGAAAAACACAAAAGGCTCTATATCTGACAACAGCACTACAGATAAGATTAGAATTTCAACAGCCAATCCACATGCAAAAGAACCTCCTCAGGAAACAGCCAATCCATATACAAAAGAACCTTCTCAGGAAAGCTCCTCCATTAGCATGCTTCACAGCCTGGGGAACTCCTACAAGATAATGACTCAGCACTACCCCACCTTCCTGAGTAGATATAAATTACTTGCCTACCATTTTTCTTCTCGCCTTGACACAGAGAGTACTCCATCTTTCTGTGTTATACCTCTGAAGATACCAGTCACAGCTACTGGTGAAACATCAGGCCCTACAATGCCAAGACCACGGTCATACAAACCGGAAAATCTACAACAGCTATTCCTATTACATTGTTTATTAGATGTCTCATCCTATTGATTGCATTGACTTATACTTTATAGTTCCACCTGGAGTCTTAGTAAGGCAAACAATAAATAGATAAACTCCAGATCTGAAGTGGATTCCAGTATTTCGCCAGGAATATGTTCACCGTATGTTAATTATACTGACACTGAAGCTATATGGTGGGACAAGCCCAACTAGAAATCTTCCTATTATTGCAGTGACCATAATGGACTTACAAGGATGTAACTCTACTTATTATTGCCCTTTTAAAGGCTCAAAAGCTTAATTGGGGCTAGGATTTCTGAGTTTGCTTGCCGCATGTCAATTTTTAAAAAGCAAAACAATTGCTACACCTTTTTTGCTTTGTGTTAAGCCCTAGAGTGAGCATAACAGAGTGGACTGTGGTCCCAATACTTAAGCGTAAAGAAACAATCATTGTGTTTCTAAATAGAGTTACATCTCTCTAAGTCCACTGATTCTGCTTAGGATGCCACTGCAAATTAGTAGGGGACTGATTAGCAACAGAACCACAGTGTGTCCTCTACATTTATGCTCCAATTTATTTGAGCTATAAACACAGTTTCTGGTTTTGTATGTTGGACTGTGTCTGTCCACTTACGTGCATGAAGCCAGAACAGAAGTATAGCATATCTATCAAAAAGACATACAACCTTAGAAGATGGGTCAAACTTCCCAGCAATCATATGAATTTAAAGGCTGCAATAAAGCACATAAACAACTTGGCACACCATGTTTGGAACCCCAGAACAAAACTCTTTGCACTTAATTTTTCTATAAGCATTACACATTTTTCTAGCACACCCCCTCAACATCTGATGGTCTGCTGTGTAAACTTAGTGGGAAAAGCAGTACAATCTCAAGATGTAACAGGAAGAAACAAGACACCATTGGAACTCACATTATTCACACACAATAAACCACGAGTAATTTCATTTTAGAAACAGTATTGCATATTATGCGAGCCTTCCTAACACCTGACACCAGAAACTGCCAGGACACAATGGGAACAGAAGCACTTTCCCTAGACTACTTACCTTTTGCCTTGAGCCTCATGCGGATATTCTGCTAAGTCAGTTGCATTCAGTGAGCAATTTTCCCAGTCGAATTCGTATCCCACTAATGATAACTAAAAAAAATTGCTAAATCTTTTGCTATTAATAAATCAAATTAACACCCAGACAAAGACCATCTGCACTTACTTTGTCACCCAAGTAAGGACTGGGTGCACTCCAATAATAAATCGGCGGCAATGCACTTCTCGCAGCCACGTTGTTGATGCTAAGCTGCTGGGGTCCATCAAAGCTGTCCTGCTGAGGAGTAACTCGAGCGAGACCAGGTACATCTGTCAGGTACCAGCCGGTCATGCTTCCAATCTATGGTGACAAAAGAAAATACCTATAAATATCCACAATGATGTTTGCACAATTTATTTTCTTCCTCTCTTTCAGTCTTTTATCCTCGCAGATTTTTATATATTCCTTATGTAAAGGCTTGGAAGACTAAATATGGAGTAAATTACCATCTACTGTAGATGCAGAGAATAGGACTCACCATATTTCTTCTAGCAAGTGAGCATATAAAATTATGAATAAAGGGATTCCTGGTTGTCCCATACAAATGCTCATTTAAATCAGGGGGGACAAAAGTTAAATTACTCAAATGGAGTGGTCTGACATTTAAGTAGCATCAGTAGGGAACAGTTCTTAAGTTTTCTGTGTTCAAGGTCTCATTCATGTGACTTTCCTATTGGCTATTGCATATAAGCACAAGAAAAACATCAGTTCACTGCATTTTCCCATCCACTAGGCCTGCAAGAAGCAATTGAATTATTGTCATCTACGGCTTCCAGTTTGTGCTCACATACTGCAGTGGTGCTGACATTATGGGCGGTTTCAATAAACTGGGCTGTAGCCTACCTTGTATGCAACCTTGGCATGTACTCACAGACAAGGAGGAGTTGCCAATAAGAGACTTTATTCAGCTATCCACTTAGAAAGTCTCTTCTGGGCATGTACAGGTTCTCTGGGGCAGGTAAGCTCATTCCCCTTCCCCATGCTCTTGTTCCACCTTCCACAGAGCCAGGGGGTTAGCCACACCCCCACCTTCAGCCACCCTTAAATTGTCTCCTGACTTAGACCCTATAGCTGGGGCCACCGGGCACACGCTCCTTGCCAAGCCTGCCAACCAAACGCCTTCCCTCACTTTAGCTCCCAGCTGGTGATCCTCTGGCCTTGACCTCCCTGGAATGCAAGTCTGTAGGCCTCTTGCCAGTGCCTTGCTTTCACCTCCCATCCTAGCACCACAATTATTTTAAATACATTTATGTCAATATCCAAATTAGATGTATATTTAAAATGCATTGAAGGTGTGGTCAAGTAGGTGAATCTACAGCAGATAACAGTTATTTTGGTTGGGAAATGGGATGTTCTGGAAAGGACTATTTGCCAACTTTAGATAGTTTGATATCACCAAGTGAGAGAATGCTCTTGGAACCAAGCTTATTAAAGTAAAATGAAATTAAAATCAGATTAATGCTTTTGCCATGAGAACTTTCGTTCATCTGTGCTTGATTCAGAAATGCCCTGCCCCTAGATCTACTCACACCGCAGTCCATGCTTCTGTAATCTCTAGACTGATTACAACATTTTCTACATTGATGACAACCTGGCATCTGGTTTCCTATCTGAGTTCAATTCAAGGCACTAGTCATTCATCTTCTGGGGGCTTTCTCAAGTGGCACAGATTTTACACTGAAAGGATATTAAACTTTTTGGCCAATGATTTATTAAATGCCGCTTTCTTCAACAGTTTTGCATTTTATAGTGTGGAATTACACTAACACCATTAAAATAATACAGTTTAGCCTATTTATGTATTTGTAAGCCACCATTGGCTAAACACATAAGATTCAATATAAATATTTGAAATAACTAACAAACATCTGTTCATTGAAGAATATGTTGGCTATTTCCACAGATATATGCATAGGTTAGGGACAAGGAAAATGTTATTTTGCAGAAGAGGGATCAGGAATTGCTGCTTTACAGAGGATTTGGGGCCCATTCTGAAAATAAAGGAAAGGGAGAACTTTCTCACTTCCTCTTTCATCCTCAGATCCTGAATGTCTTCAAAACAGCAAGGGGCAGATAAAGCACTGACCAATGCTGCTAAGCTTCTTGAAAGATTTAGTGCAATTCACAGACCTGCCTAAGAACCCCACATCCCCCCCCTCCATAGAGTTGTCAGCACTAGGTTGGGAAATACCTGGGAATTTTGGGGGTGGAGACTAACAAGGTTGGGGTTTAGGGAGGGGAGGGAATTCAATGGGGTATAATGCCATAGAATCTATCTAGAATCTATCTTCCAAAGTGGCCATTTTCTCCAGGTAAACTGTTCTCTGTTGCCTGGAGATCAGTTGTAATAGTGAGATATCTCCAGCCACCACTTAGAGGTTGGTAGCCCTACTCACACACACCCTTATGGCCTAAAATACTCTCACCCCTTGCTGGACTAGAAGGATACTGGGATGGGCAGCAATAACGGTTCACCCTTCTAGGGTTTTTATATCTACTCCATTCAGGAATCAGAAATTCCTTCCTGGGATTTGAAAAGCTACTTGCAAGAAGAAATGGCCTGGGGTACATAAAAATGTTTCCTAATATAATCCAGGCTGGATAAGCGTTCCACCTCCTCTCATTCCAGTGCCTTAATTTAACACGTAATGCTCTGGATTGGAAACATTCCCTCCTGCATCCTAGCAGAGAGTATCTGCAAACTCTAAGTTGTAGTTTAAAACATCCCCCTTTCTGGATCACTGGGCTATCAACAGGATTGTTTTCTCTCTCATCCCAATGCCCCGGCTTAGCTCATGGTAGGATTTTTTTCCATTTACCTCTCACTGGATTACAGGAGGTTACATCCCCCTGTAATGCAGAGTGCTCTCTACACCACACAGAGAAAGACCACTCTTGCGGTGTATTGTACAAGAGCAACTGAGATATAAATAAGAGATCGACCCTTGGACCTTCCATCAAGTAGTGATGGATGCACTGCCCCCTAGCTGTGGAGTAAAAACCTTCCGCATTCCAAAAACCACTAAGGAAGTTTCATATAGTGGAATGGTTTCATTCTGCTCTCCTGAAAAAGGAATGAAATGGTACAGCTCTGTATTCTGTACCTAATACAAAGGCTTGACATTGTTAGCCACAATAGTTTGAAATTAAAAAGCTAAATAATTTAAATATTTATCTTCTGGTTTTCTAAACCTGTGAAATAAAGATGATGCATATGATTCCAAGATTTCTCAGAAACTATAAGAAGTGTAACGATTTTCTCTCTAAAAATCCAGTCGGCAATCCTCAAAACAACTCAGCTGTCAATGCAGTTTTGTGTATAGTATGTTTTACACCCCTGCTGTAAGGTACTCAGCAGTCTTCTTCTGCACAAAAGAATAAAAAGAGAGTTCCGCAGACTATCAGACGCAGGTCCAACTGTTTAACGGTCCCTTTTCAGTTTTCTTGCTCAAAATCTTGGTCACAGAGATCAAACATCGCTTCAGCTGAGCTATTTTTTAAAGACTCGTGGGTTGGAGAACCCCTGTCCTGGAAAACCTCTAAAATTATGAAATTCTCAAGCAAATTATAACAACATATACTCAAGGCTTTTGGTTGTGTTACAGTGACTGGATGCTACCATAGTTGTGAAATGGCTCAGCTGTGAGCTGAAAGGGCATCCTAGTTATAGGGTCCATAAAATAAGCCTAGCAGGCATTTTCATTTTATTCACATAAAGATACAGTTAATACACACAGTTACTTAAGCCAAAGCAGGGTTTTTGTTTGTTTGGTCCCGTTCACACGGAGCATTTGCCGCACTAAAGATATGGATGATAGGCGGATTTTCCAGGTGCGATCACACCGCAACATCTGGGAAGCGTAGTGCACCATGGCTAACCCATGGCTTCTTGCCGAAGATATGGAGTAAAAAACTAGTACATACGATGTGCTAGTTTCCAGAAAATGCAGGGCAAGGGCTGATTGCGTTTCCGCTGGAATCCCGTGGCATCCGGCACCCACCCATGTCTTGTCGCAAACCGGATGTTGGGGTTTTTTTAAGTCTCCACAGGATGCACACAAACGCCCACTGGCACATGTGCACACTGTGGTGAGGGGAAAAAATTCCCGTTTGCCACGGAAGTGGCGCCTAGCATTTGCCAGTGTGATCACGCCGCACTGATTCTTTGCCGCACTGCAGGATAGCCATGTGTTCGGCACCTAATGGCATACCCACGGGACCTCCACGGGACATGTGATTGGGCTGCCGTGCGTTACTATGCTCCAGGGCAAACAGCCACGCTCCCCCCCCCCGCATTTTCCGGCCCGTGTGATTGGGACCTTTGTTCTGCAAAGCCCAGTGTATCAGGATTTGATACAGAGCTTTGTCAAAGGAACAGAATCCTCACTGTACTCTGTATAACCTTACACTAAGGTATGCTTAACATGCCCAACATGGGCCCCGGTCACACGGGCAGGAAACTGCGGGGGGGAAGCGTGGCTGTTTGCCCTGGGGCAAACTAACACGCAGTAAAGCGATCATACCTCCTGTGGAGGTTCTGTGGAGGTACCGTGGAGCTTCTGTGGTTACGGAGAGGCGTCGATCACAACACATGCCTGCGCGCAACGAAGAAGCGCGCGGCGCGGCGAACTAGTTTTCTTTTTTGTGTGTTCACTACGAATGCGCATGCTCCGTTGGGTGCATGTGCGCAACCACGGGGACTTGGGGGGGAAAAAACCTTTTTCACAAGGGGACATGGGCAGGCGCCGGATGCCACCGGAAACGCGATCAGACGCCCGCCCTTGCCCCGCAGTTTCCGGAAACTAGTACCTCCAAGGTACTAGTTTTTTGCTGCGCGGTTTCGGGAGGAAGCCTCGGTTGTGCCACGGAAGCGCTACGCTCCCCAGATGTGCTGGTGAGATCGCGCCTGGAAACTCCGCCTGTCTTCCGTATCTCTTGCGTGGCTAATGTTGCGTGTGACCGCAGCCATGGTGTATTATATCACAACAGGTGGTCACCTGAAGCCTCTGACCAGGCATTTGACCCAGAGACCTGCAGAAAGATGGTAAAACAGAACTTAAGCATGTGATCGGTGAGTTAAAGAAGGCATGCAATGAGCCTTTAAGCAGCACTGCATGGCTCTAGTATCTCCACTTGTCCAAATGTTCAGATATCCTAAACTAGTTTGTACTTGCTCTGCAGAATTAGCAAATGCAAACAACAATGCTGTCAAACCCATTTTCACAAATCTTTCCATTTTTAAGGGTCAGCACAACTTTAGGATTCTCCCTTCTAGAACAGAACACTTCCCATACTGTCATGTTTTTCCATTATTTTCAGTGGAGATTTACCAAAACTCTCAATCTTCTAACTTTCTAATTTTTCTTCATGTTTCCTAGGTTTTACTGGTGAAAATGTTACTCGTTCTTTGCCTTGAGGTTATCCCAACGATAATGCACACTGTTGATCTGCTATGATACAGATCACTCCATTGAAAACAAATCAAGGTGAGAAATAAAAAAGTGGTAATATCAGATCCTTGCCCAGTCCTGGGGGAAAAACCTAATATAGTCTCAGGCTATAACTCTGAAATTCCTCAAGAGGCTGCAAACTTTTACAATCCTGTTAATTGGTGTCACTAAATATGTACATAAAATATTAAGAAGATACTGTTGATTTCTCATTAAGATATTGCTCATTTCACATATGGCTTTACGGACACGTATGACACATGTCATTAATTTGCATGAGACATCAATTCCTGTTGTACCATTTCAGAGAATAAACATAGGATAATTCCATCCATGCAACATGATTGACAACTTAAGAGTCATATTAAATAATTTATCATTTCTCTCTCTCATACTCTCTTCACCCACATGCAAACAGTAATTTCTCTATCTGCTGGTATTTTTCTCCTAGGCATAGCTTAAACACTCTCTCTCCAATCTCAGCATTATAAAAATCTGGCTTGTACTGTGAAGAATCAGGCTACTTTATTCTTGAAGAAAGAATTGTGAAAGTACAAAACCGTGTGATATAAGTTAAAAAGGGAAAAAAGCTACACCAGTAGTATGTAAACTTTTTCTTACAGTGTTGTAGGTCCAGTGAGAGCCTACACAGTCCTTCATTACTCCCGAGCAGAAACATTCTTCACAGCCCCTGGGGTTGTCTTGCTGCAGGTTAAAGAAGCCTGGTTTACAACGATCGCAGTTCTCTCCTTCAACATGATCCTGTAAATCATATTAGGACATTAGAGTTTTAAAATAATCTTACAACTGAACTTAGTTATGTTCTTTTTCAGTTTAGATATATCACAGAAAGGGAGACTTTAAAGAAATATTTCTCTCTCAGATGAGGCTCCAACTTTTCTGTGGTAACACATCCACCTGCACCAGCCATCACATTTTTCAAGGATATTATGCTGGACTATGCACCTACTCCAGCATGACATTCAACACAGAGACATTCAGTAAACCCAGAAGCAGGAAAGGTACACACAGCGTATGGGACTGGGGCATATTATTTATGTATTTATTTAGAAATTATTGTTATCTGGCTTTTTTCTTACACTCAACCTCAGTCCTCCGTGATATGTAGACTTGATATTACTGGAGGTTCCTGGATCTCACATCTATATTCTAAGCCATAATACAATTAAAGATGTTACATGGCTGACCATGACTTCATACTTTGGGTACTACCCTTTCCCCCATTTTCACACAACTAAATTTCCATAATAACAATAACAAAGCACAAAAAAAACAATAGGAACATTATGGTATTTGGATACGGCCAAGCACTATACTATATGTTTTGGTCATGCACATCTACAATAACCAGCAATTGTTTGTGTGGACTGGATGTATTATTATGCCAAATATGCTATTAAGCAAAATCTATTCCCTTCATGTTCATCAGTGTTTCTGTGTATATTCTGAATACACCTACTGCCGTGAACTCAATCAGTAAATCTAACAGTATAATCCAATTACTGGTTCCAATGGGATTGAATTAGAGTAACTCCTCACATGGTTGCACTGCTAGTGGCACAAAACTTTACTATTATCTAGGTCACAATATGAATTAAATGTTAATCGATTGCCAGCTGGTCACCAGTATGATTCACTTATAGCTACATATCCTAAAAGATACCTGGAATTTCAATTTATAACACAACCGAAACTGAAACTCAACTATTTTTCCAAATTCAGCAAAACAGCATTATTTGCAGAAAGCCACTCCGGAAAACTATTTTGTACAGGATCTCTATTCCTGTCCACAGTGGGATGTCTACCATTCACAGATGGACAAGTATGGCTGCCTCTCAGACAGCAAAGGCTGAACACTCCATGGAAAAGGTGCCCATCCTATCACAGCCAGAATCAAGCTTGTACTGCTTCAATTATATGGTTTGTTGAAAAATCATTCACTTGCTGCCCAAACAAGGGTGCTTTCACACATGTTGGATAATGCACTCTCAATGACTTGTGACTTGATGTCATGTTTTACACACACACACACACAGAGGAGGTTCAAAGTAATATATTAACATATGTGCTCAGCTTTTTTCTGTGGTCCTTTTTGATTTTTCCTTTTTCTTTCTTTTGTAAGATATCATAGAACTCCAGACTAGTGTAACTGGCTCTATGCTGGCCTGCCCTTGAGACTGATCTGGAAACTCCAACTGATCCAGAATGCAGTGGCACAAGTCCTGATGGAAACATCCGATGGCACATATTCAACCTGTGTTGCACCAGCTACACTGACTTCCAGTGGAGTACTAAGTCAGGTTTAAGGTTTTGGTACTGACCTTTAAGGCCGTGTGTGGTCAGGGTCCCATGTATCTTCGGGACCGCCTGGTATGTCCCCCAAAGAGCATTATGCTCTCTGGAGAATAATCTGCTGTTGATCCCTGGCCCTAAAGATATCTGGCTGTCCTCAAACAGAGCTAGGGCTTTCTTGGCCCTGGCTCCAACCCAGTGAAACTCTCTGCAAAATAACCACAGGGCCCTGAGGGATCTAATGCAATTCCTCAGGGCCTGTAAGGCAGAGATGTTCAGCCAGGCTTTTGTATGAGGACAGCACAAGCTCTGTCATGGCTGGCACCCCCTCCTTTATTCCATCTTTTTCCTTCAGCCTTCTCCTGGTCCTGCCTGCAAGGTGACAACACAGTCGGGAACTGGCTTAAAATGTGATTCATGGATGCCACCTGGGGGATTGTTTTTAAGAGTGTACTGAATGTTTTACATTGTACTTTATTCACTGTTGTACATCGCCTGCAACCCTGTGAACACAGGGATTGGGTGATTCACAAATTTAAATAAATAAATAAATAAATAATGGTGACCACATAGGGTTTTGAAGGCAGGTGATTAAGCAGAGACGATTTGCCAGTGTCTTCCTCTGCTTTTTGGTCTCCCGTCCAAGTACCAACCCTGCTTAGCTTCCAAGATCTGACAAGATCAAGCTATACTATACTATTCCACATCCCTTGAGCCTATAGGCTAGAAAAAATTCTGTTGATGCATTTTCTGTCACTGGTTCTATTCACTGAAATGTCAGCAAATATTATCGTCCTTTATAATGTATTCTTTATATCTACTGTCCAAGAAATGGCTACTAGGGAGGGGCACAAACCATGAAAATACAGTTCAGTTTGTGGCATGCCCAATTCGTGAACCATGAACCGTCACAAACTTTTAGATGCCAAATAAGCTGCTTTGGTTTGTGAGGTTCATGACATGGTAGAACAGCCCCCTGGTGTGCTAGAGACACCAAACACACAGGGAATCTCCAGCAGACTCTCCTTTACCTGCCCTCCATATTCGGTGACGGTTGCATTTACAGGGTCCAAATTATGGACCCCCAAAGTACTTTCTGGGAGAATATCAGGCCCAGGTTCAGGAGGTTCATGATTATATAGAACTGATTCTGTGCAAACTAGAGGGTCCAAGTTATGGCCCCCAAAAGAAGAAGCCCACAGGAAAATGCTTTCTGAGGAAATCATGAGCAGGTTCAGGAGTATATAGAATGGATCCTGTGCAAGCTAGAGTCATCAAAATTGCAGGGGACTCCCCCAGATGCTTCTCTACATGCCCTCCAAGTTCTGTGTCCCCTGATGTGCTGATGTTTAGTAAACATTCAGATTGAGTCAAAACTGCCTGGAAATGTATCCATTGATGAACCACCACAAACAGCTTGAAAGTTTATGGAAAGTTCATGCCAGTTGACCTGCCACAAATTTCAGTTCACAAACTGCGAACTGGCCAAAATTCATCACGAACTTTAGTTTGTGAGCTGGTTTGTACCCTTCCTTAATGGCTACACATCCACGTACACACACATTCAAGAAATGAAGCATGAGTATACATTGAACACTCTAAAACTTGTGCATGAATATTTTGCAAGCCATTTTGCAAGCCGTTGTTATCATTTAGGTGAACTGGATCTTGGTTATGCTATTTTGGGATTACCATGGAGGAAGAAGAATCAAAGCAAATCTACTTGATTTTTAAAAAGCCCAAATCACAGCACTTAGTAAATCTGCATTAATTTTTGTGGGTAGGCAATTAATAAATAATTAGAAATACTGAGCAGGTAACATCTAACTAAGCTTCCTAAAAATAAAAAAGTTGTTTTCAGTTTGGTGTTGAGTTGCCCACGGCAATTAATGCCTTTCTGTGCACTTAACAAAGTGAACAGGAGCTTGTAGGATGAGCTCATTACTAACTGTCTACTATTGCTTTTATACAATCCATTTCTTGGGTTCTTACACAGATTAAAGCTAAAGATCAAAGCCTGCACTGAAAATTACAAAAGGAAGTTTTGTTGTGCATATGACCACTTGGTGTTACGGTTCTATTTTTACCCATAAGTGGCTTGCAAGGCTATACTGAGCTTGCACGAATTGTATGGCATTGGAAGCATGAGAGAGGATATAAGGTGTTATATTGGGAAAGAAGCTCGGGGAGGACTCTGGGTAGGGTTGCCAGGATGATAGGAGACAGTGGAAAAGGGAGGAAATGCAGCCATGCTAGTGGCTTGACACTGAGGCAAAAGTTTTGGATTTGGGTTTGACCGCAACATAATTTCATCACTTCTGGGTATTTGCTGGAAGTGATGTCAAGCTGCCAATATGGTGCCATGTAAAAAAAATCCTCTCCTGGCCCTCAGTGGGCCAGTGGGCAATATAAAGGCTGATTTACCACAAGCGCTGCTCCACGCCCCGATGGTACGTGTCAATTTCACACACGCTGCTGCGCAGCCGCATTTTGCCCCGGAGTCTACTCAATCCTCAAAAAACAGGATTGAGTAGACGTGGGGGAAATCATGGCAAGCTGCGGGGCAAAATGCAGCCGCACAGCAGCTTGTGTGAAATTGACACGTACCATTGGGGCAAAAGGGAAGAGCGAGCGTGGAGCAGCGCTTGTGGGAAATCGGTCAAAGAAAGAGAGGGCCTAACCTTTCAAGACAGTTCAAGATTCACTGCTGCAAGGAAGAGCAGGAGAGGGAAATGGAACAAACTTACTTTGCCTGTCCCACTGAGGCCTTTGAGATTATTTATGCTCACAATTCCTCATAAACTTGTTCAAAGCTCTTCCCAATCACAAAGCTTTTCCTGATTACTGAAAACATGGTAGGCCTCATACAATACACAGAAATGTCTGTTTGTGGGTGGGAAGGTCATATGTGGTATACAAATGAATACATAGTTCATCTAATTTTTTTACTGTATATGGCCTAAAACTTGTGCATATGTAAAGAAAATAATACTGTGGGGAAAACCTAACATGCTTGGAGGTCTGTAAAAATGCAAAGCATAATGTTAAATAGCACAGATATGGTATTCAAATGAAGACCACAGCATTGATGGAGGTTTAGGCCTTTTCCTTTTGCCATCTGTCCAAACGGATGCTGTCCCATGGAGCTGGTATACTTCCACTGGGATAAACATGCGGATCTGCCTGCATCAGATCCAAATGAAGGCCATTTCTACTTGTATATGAAGCTTCCAGGATGTCATTTCCAGGATGTCAGAACAGAGATAGAAAAATGTTAATGCAGTGAAACCACATCAGAACATCTCTCTATAAGCCTGAACTTCGAACCTAAGAATGACAAAGCACATGGGATCACTCAGAATAATTTCTGCACTGCAGCTGGCCTATACATGTATAGTCCCTCTCTCTTTGCACTTGAATCACAAATGATTTGAACTTTGGACTGCTGGTCCAATTCAGATGAATTCTGATGTTATGCACTGCCAATATTACCCTTACTCTATTCTTCATTTTAAGAATACAATTAGAAATTGCCCATTATTTGAACCTCAAGATTTGCTAGCTTGGGCATTAAAATTTTGACAGGAAGCAATTTTATTTCAGAGACAGAAAGAGTATTTCAGAGCTATGCATGTGCCAAGTGGGAACAAGGTTAAAACCTTGAGCAGAGTTCTGCGTTGATCAGCTGTCACACTAGTGCGTTATAAGTATATGCAGGAAGACCTAATCAAGTGACATTTTTCTTTAGGCTCCTGACCCTTGAGAAGAGTCTAGGTCCCTTAATGCTGAAAGGTAGCTTCTACACACATGCACACACAAAGGTTCTATCCCATCCTTAGCTGAGCATCATCAGGAAAGATCTGCCAATATACAAATGTATGAAGAAACTGATTCTTCGAATATTAGCAGTAAGGAACCTTGCTTTAATACAAAGTTAAAATGAAATGAAATGAAATGAAATGAAATGCAGGTTGTTCTAAGTACCTCCGTTGGAAGTGTCATCAATTGCCACTGAACCCCCAATGTTATGTTAGCAGTTTGGTGTAGTGGTTAAGTGTGCGGATTCTAATCTGGGAGAACCGGGTTTGATTCCCCACTCCTCCACTTGCACCTGCTGGATGACCTTGGGCAAGCCATAGTTCTTGCACAACTGTTCTTGAAAAAGAGCAGTTTCTGTCAGAGCTCTCTCAGCCCCACCCACCGCACAGGGTGTCTATTGTGGGGAGGGGAAGGAGTTTGTAAGCCGCTCTGAGACTCCTTTGGGTAGTGAAGGGTGGGGCATAAATCCAATCTCTTCTTCTTCATGTGGAATGGCAGCTAACCAGCTCTGGATTTGAAGAGCATGATCACTATTCCTCTATTTATACAATACAGCAATAGTGCATGCCATGCCCTTGAACCAAGTGGCTGGTGGGTTCTCATTTCATGTGAACAAAATGCTAACATAACTCCCTGCAGTGGGCTATTATCTTCATGTAATGTGTTTAGATCCACACTGGGAATACACACTGATTGAACTATCAGGCATCGTGAAAAATATTGTGTTTCTGCAACATTAGGCAGGTAAAGTGAGCCCAGTTGCTACCCATCTCAAGGTAAGGACAAAAGGAGGGAGGACAGTTAGAAGGCTGTGGTTGAGAACAACCTGTGGTTGAGAACAACATCATCACCACCAGGCCCCATTAGAGGTCATGGGGAGATGGGAAGAGTGCCAAACAACAGAAATCAGTATCTCCAGCTATACCAGTGAGATGACTGGAATGATTCCTACTCAGTGGTGAAGATTATATGCAACTGATTATATGCTGGTACAAAATTCCATTGTGACATCTTTATATTGCAGTGATCAGAAGAAAGCACAGTTGGTCAAGGCATATATTTATATCTTACAAGCAACATCTGGAAAATGCAGGATGCACCAAATGCCTACCTGTTCCTTGGTACGACAAATATCATGGTATGACAAATATCCTATGGTTCCTGCTTTCTTAGGCTAGCAAATACTCACCACTGTGCCCACTCTACTATTCTATTTGCATTTACTGCAGGGCTAAATGCATACTTTTCTCTCTCCTTTATAATACTATCTTCTTCTTGGGGTACCAAATGTAGGCTCATCTGACTACTGTGTAACATTGCCTGCCTTTCTTTAGGTGCCAAAGAGCTCTGTGTGCCCTCTGTGCAATGCTACCTACTTCTAAAGAGGCCAAATGCCTGGTTCTTCTTGTTTTATGGGTGAGAATTTTAATTTCCCATAAAACTGAGATACTCTCTCCTACTTGCCTGATACTTGGTAGGAAAGATTCTTGGATGAGGGGAATGAGCCCATAAAATATCATTCCAACTGAATAGAAAACCAAGAAGTTAACCTATATATGTGTTTTCCACTGAAAACAAAAGAAAAATGGAAACACAAATGCCTTAAGAGTGAATGAATGGAAAACTAATAATAATAAAAAAAAAACAAAATGAATCATGCACCCCCTAACATGAAGAAGTCAAGTGGAATCAGGTCATATATTGCAGTACTATTTATGAAGCCAGTGCTGCTTTCAGCTTCACTGAAGATTTCAGAGAAAACACTTGACAGAAATTTCATTAGATTTTTAGAGATAATGGTAAGCAGGGTTATCAGATTTGCAACTGTGCTTATTGCAGAACACAGTCACCAACTTCCACTGAAGTGAACACAGTATTCATTACTACTGTGTAGAATTTTCTTGAGATTTGGTGAAAGCTGCCATTTCAGGGTAGAGGGCAAAAAGGTCTACAAAAAGCCTGTACTTTCTGCCTTTTTCTTCTGGAGGGCTGAAAGAGAATCTAATCAGGGCAGGATTTCAGCTAATCAGATCAGTTACTGAGAGTAAATGAAGCCCTCCCCAAGCCATTATTCAGGGAAGGGGTAGTTTCACTTTCACTCTGACCCAAGTTTACTCACAGTAACACAAAATTAACTAGGAAAGAATACTGATGGAAGATGCACATTCAGATACTGATAATGTCCATCAGCACTGCACCCCTTTTAATGAGCTATGCATTCACAGACCACAGAAAGTTCCACATTCTGTCTCAAGCAGTAATGAAACTGGGCTGACAGGTACACGCCCAACTGCCTAAGTATTGGCAATATGATATGTTCCCTCCTATGGAAACAATTTTTTCTCCCTCTCGAGGGTGTGTGAAAAACAGACAAAAAAGGGAGAGGATGAATGTATACATATTATGTGTTTTCAGTTTTCAGCTCAGTATTATATTAACTACCGACATGAACAGATAACCAGATCTGACTAGAATGCTGACATATATTAGATAAAACCAAATATAAAAGGATCTTTGCTTTGATTGCTGTCAACAGTTGTTTTGTAAGTACTTCAGTGGTACACAATCTGATGGAATCAAGTTAAAAATAAATGTTTTTATGCTCTCGAGTAGGAGTGTGCACTAAAAAATGGTATTTTTAGATTCAGCTATATTGGAGCCAAAAAAATATTGGTATTCCTGGCTTCCCAATGCCAGTCCCCCCCCCCCCAGGTTTCCAATATTTTTCAGCTCCATTATTCCCTATGGGGAATTGTTCCAGAGGGCTGGGGAGAGGATGGTTTTAAAGTAACTGACATTAAAATTGTGGGGGAACTTCTGGTTCCTGACTTTAAATAACACCCAGATTTCAAGTCAACTGGAGCAAGGGGTCCAATTCTATAGGTCCCTGAACAAGGTGCCCCCAACTGTCCCCTGTTTTCCTATGGAGGAAAAGGAAACACATAAATGTAAAACCCAAGAATCACACCCATAAGAAGGCAATTGCAAGTTATTTCAAAGTCCAACAATGATAACTAAGAAACAAAATGGTGCAGAGGGATAAAAATCTTTAATAACTGCATAATCCCTATGCATTTTGTGTGCAGCTTTGTCAGGGGAAATCTTTCAGATTCTCTTTAGTTCTGTTCCCATACATACATTTAAATAGAGTGTCCGACAATGTAAATCCTGAGAACTTGAACCTATGTAAAACCCAAGAATCTGAGCCTATATAAAATGTGATATTCTCAACCTATGTAAAATGCAAAAATCTCAATGTAAAAAGCAAGAATCCACAAAAATGCAAACCCAACACAAACCCCACTCCAACAAAAAAATGAACTTTTAAAAAACAACAAAAGTACTTGAAACTGGCAGAATCTTACCTCAAGCAGCCTGGCAAGTTATACCAAGTCTTGGGAGACATAGAAACATGGGGAGGAGAGGGTGGTGGTGGTGGTGGGTAACAGTCCTGGGAGTCTGCAAATGCTAGCTACCAACATTCCCATTTAATACTCAGGGATTTTTTGGCACCCATTTTTAGGTATCCTGAAAAATTCCAGATATATTTGGCAGACCCGAATATATCTGAAAAAACACTGATATATATATATTTGGCTCGGTTATATCCGAGTGCACATCCGTACTCTCAAGTATTATCTGCTTCTATAGAAGGATTACCAGGTGGTAGTTTATCCATATATGCATGTTTAATGACAGTACCTTGCCAGTGTGATGCCCAATAACTAGTCAAGATTACTATTACATCCACATCAAAAAGACATACTTTAAGAAATGGGTCACAATTGTCTGACACTCAGCCACAGTTAAGAGCTAGTTACATATGAGAAAATGGACAAAAAAAAGCTTCTAATCTCTCTTGGAACAGATGACAAGTTTACATTCACTAGGGGGGGAAATGTTGTAATCCATACCTTGCAGATGCAGGGTCCTAGGCAAGGGTCATCATTTAAACTGCCTTTCAGAGAACAGTTGCAGGGCGCACAGTGAGGGAAGCCCTTGTAACCTAATGAGCATCTGTCACACCTCTGTCCTGCATAGCCAGGTTTACAATGGCAGAATCCCGGAAGCAGGTCTGCAACAAGATAAAATAAGGATGAAGCTTAGCTAAGTATTCACTAATATTAAGAAGGTTGAAATTTAAAGTAAATGGTCAAAATGTAAGAAATCTGCAGCCTCTACTGCTAAGGTTAAGATCGTTACTTCTCCATTCAGCAGTGGTGGCCACTACACAAATACACACACCTAAGTGCACAAATCAACATTGTCACAGAAGTGCTGGATTCAGACCAACTCCCCCACGGACTGACTAGGTAGGTAGCTTGCATTCCTCAGCCTCAGTTTGTTCTAATTACTATTAAAATTGAGTATTTATTTATACATGTGAAAAGAATGACTAATTGGTGTCATGGAACACAAAAGTGGTATCACACAGAGCTGTATTTGATGGATGAGAAAGGGTGGAGGACTTAGGAAATGGCAGTGATGCAGGGACTGTAAGGCCAGAGATCCTGCATTCACACAGGGCTTTACTATGAAGAAGTGGATCTTGAGAAACTGAGCTAGTTCAAATATAACAGTTGAGGTTATTGTCATATATGAATACTGAGTCATCAAGAAACTGCTTCCTTGTGGCACATGTACTTATGAAAGTGCTTCAGGGAGGAATTTTTACATCCAGGGCTGTGTATTGCTGAAGGCATGAATGAAAAAAAAGAAAAGAAAACAATGGATGTTAGATAAGCAGTATTTTCAGAAAGAGAGTTTTGGATGTATTGAAGAAAAAACAGTGAGGCTTATTGGGAGCAATGAGAACTAGAACTTAAACAGTCAAGTTAAATACTTCATCTTATAGATAGTTAAGGCATCGTGGGGAGTATTTGTGTGAGACAGATCTAAAGTGCTATATATTTTTATTTGTAAAAGTCAATTCCTGGTCAGTGTATACATTTAAATCTTTTTGAAACATGCAATGCAATAAGCTTGATAATGTGCTCTCCTAACAATTCTATAACAGGCAATTGTACCAACTTAGAAAAAGCTACTGTAATGTGACCATTGAATAAATCTTTTACATTACAGCGGCCTCCCGTAATCCTTTGCTGCAGAGTGCAGGAAAGACACAATTTCTATGCTTTAACTTTGGAGGGAATTGCTCATTATCATCTTCTCCTCTATTCTGTTCAAGGATTAGAGTAATTTTATTCTTGCTTGGGTAGACAGATACCTTGCAGAAGCAGGTTTTCATTTTACTCCAAGTAAACATTTTTCCCCCTCAAGCAAACAACCAGCACCTACAAAGTCTATTTCAATATACCTAATGTGCATTCATACTGATTTGCAAATATATAGAGAAAATCCACTGGAAAAAATAAATGCATTTTTCAGTCCTTCTTTCAAATAAACACCATCCTTTTTCCAGCTTACAAAGATGGAAGAAAATTGGCTTTCGGGGGGGGGGTACTCTATGAGGATTAAAACACATTTCATCCTTGTTGTACTCCTTTTCCTATGCTGAACCAATCAGTTGTTCCGTATCCGGTTCTAACTGTCGCTTCTTGGCCCTTATACAGGTTTCTCAAGAGACATGTGAGGTGGTCTGGTACTCCCATCTCTTTAAGGACCTGCCATAGTTTGTTGTGATCCACACAGTCAAAGGCTTTAGCATAGTCAATGAAGCAGAAGTAGATATTTTTCTGGTACTCTCTTGCTTTCTCCATAATCCAGCGAATGTTGGCAATTTGATCTCTAGTTCCTCTACCTCTTCGAAACCCAGCTTGTACTTCTGGTAGTTCTCTATCCACGTACTGTTGAAGCCTAGCTTGTAGGAGCTGTCAGAGTGGCTCATTAATAAGCTCGATACACAGAACCTTCTCTACTTTCACAACTGGGTAGAAATAATTTCCTCCCAAAAAGGTTCCACACGCAAGCAAATATGTTTTAATTACAGGTGCTAAGCCTGGAGTTCTCACTCTTTATTAGAATAAGTTTCATCAAGGAAAAGAAAAGAAACACATTGCCCAAAATAGCAGGAGCAATCAATCCTCTTTCTCAGATGCTTGCCTCACATTATTTGATTTGGTAGGTGTCTTATAAAGCAATCTTACAGAGATCTAATCAGAATCCTCCTGAGGACTATTCAGTGGGGCTTACTTATAAGAACATGCTCTTACAATTGCACTGTGAGAGTGGTTTCTGAGGAAACTCCTTTCACTCATGAGAAGACGTCCAGAAGTCATTCTCATATATCAATATCCCTAACATGCAAAGGAGGTATATTGTTACTCACTCATCTAAAAACTATTCAGCAATACTTGCTTGTAAAATAGCCTTGATAACTACACTAGGTGGCATACTAAATGTGTAACTGCTGCCAGTAACAGGGCCTCAGAAGATGACTGCAGTGGTCAGGTAGGTTCACAAAGGTGTAGGTATGCCTCAGGTATGCTGATCCAAAGACATATAAGGTTTTAAAGGTAAGCATCAGCACCTTGAATTGTGCCCAGAAATGAACAGGGATCCAGTTTAGATGGGCTAAGACTGGTGTAATATGGTTCCTACAAACAACTCAAGTCAACAGAAACATTCTGGCTGCAGCATTCTGCACTAGTCAAAGTTTCCAAACATCTTTCAAGGGCAGCTGTTAGGTCTGGGTCCAAGAGCACCCCCAGATTACAGACCTGTTCCTTCAAAGGGACCACAATCCTATCCAGAACAGGTGACACCTTAAGTCCCATATTGGACCTTCTGCTCATCAGTAGCACTTCCATCTTGTCAGATTTTAGCTTCAGTTTATTAGTAGGGGTATGCAAAAAAAAAGAAGAAGGTATTTTCCAGATTCTGTTATAATGAACCCCCAAAATATTGATATTTCCTGATATTCCTGAATCTCAATACCGGTGTGGTATTCAGAGTCAGTAAAATGTGGGATTCCTGAATATTTTCAGCTCTATTATACCCTATGGAGAGCCAGTTTGGTGTAGTGTTTAAGTGTGCGGACTCCAATCTGGGAGAACCAGGTTTGATACCCCACTCCTCCACTTGCAGCTGCTGGATGACCTTGAGCAAGCCATAGTTCTGTCAGAGCTGTTCTTGAAAGTGCAGTTCTCAAAAGAGCTCTCTCAGCCGCACCTACCTCACAGGGTGTCTGTTGTGGGGGGGAGGAGGGAAAGGAGTTTGTAAACCACTGTGAGACTCCAAGTGAAGGGTGGGGTATAAATCCAATCTCTTTTTCTTCTATGGGGACTATTATAGTCAATGGTCCCCATACGGTATAATGGCTCTGGGGGGTATTTTGAGGAAGAGGCACCAAATTTGCAACAAAGCTGCTGGTGCCTCTCCTCAAACACCCCCCCCCCCCAATTTTCAAAAAAATTGGACTAGGGGGTCCAATTCTATAGGCCCCCCAAAAGATGCCCCCATCCTACACTTTAACCAATGGAGAAAAAAAGGTGTTTAAAGGGATCACAGTCCCTTTAAATGCCTTCTCCAAGCTGCACGAGTGGCATGACTCTGCAAGCATTTAAAGGGACCACAATCCCTTTAAGCACCTTATCCAAGGGGTGAGTTCACCCAGAAAGCATTTAAAGGGACCGTTATCCCATTAAACACCTTATCCAAGGGGTGAGTTTGCCCAGAAGGTGTTTAAAGGAACTGCAATCCCTTTAAACACCTTCTCCAAGCTCTTTAACTTCACCTATCCAGTGGTCAGGATTTTCAGGGGCTGGCCATTTTGGATAGCTGGAAAATGGCCAAATCTCTATCCAGCTGAAAGTATTTAGCAGAATGTATACCCCTGTTTATTAGCATGCATCCACTTAAAAAATGCCTCCAGGCACCGGTTTAGGGTTTCTATAGCCTCCCTGGGGTTGGCCAGAAGCATGATATAGAGCGAAGTATTATCTGCATATTGGTGACAACCCAACACAAATTTTTGGATGACCTCACCAAATGATTTCATGTGGATGTTGAAGAGCACAGGGGACAAGATGGAGCCTTGTGGGACTGCACAAGCTAAACGCCAAGGGGCTGAACAGCAGTCCCCCAGCACCACCTTCTGAAACCTTTCTGGTTCTCCAAGAACCACCCGAAAACAGTGCCTCCTAATCCCAGACTGGAAAGGTGGTCCAGAAGGATATTGTGACTGATGGTATCAATAAGCACTGAGAGGTCCAGGGGAATCAACAGAATCACATTCCCTTGATCCATCTCCAGAACAACCAAAAGTGTTGCAGTCCCATAACAAGGTCTGAAAACACATTGGAAACCAGACTGGAAAGGATCTCAACAATTGGCTTCATCCTGGAATGTTTGGAATTGTTCAGCCACCACCCACTCAATCTCCTTACTCAATAATGGAACACTTGAGAATAGTCATTTCATAGTCCATCTTTCTTGTTAAAATTCAGGGCTTATCATCTATATACAAATAGCGAAGTCAGCCAAATCTGAGGAGACCTAAATCTGGTGGCTGTAGCTGTGAATGGGCAAGACATATCTTTCTATGAATAGTAAAATGCCCCAGGTTTGCAGAAAAAATCTAAATTAAATGTAGCTTTTTATTTATTTATTTTATTAAATTTATGAATCACCCACCCTGCAAGCAGGCTCTGGGCGATTTAGAATCTTAAAACGGTTAAATAGATGGTAAAATGCCAGTATTAGTGACCTGTGCCTCCACAGACAAGGAGGTGTCCAAGGTCACACCCAGGCTCCTAATGGAGCACACTGGTGTTAATAGTGCCCCATCAACAGCTGGAAACTGGAACCCCAATCCTGAATCCCTCCCCACCCCCCAGCCACAGAACCTGTCTCTCCCAGATTCAGTCTGAACCTGCTCTGTTTGGTTCTCGCATCTGTTAAAGCATCTTCATTATATTGTATGATAATTTGCTGTTCACCCTCTACCTATATGTATGGACTGATAACTTCCATTTCAATGTATCTGAGGATGTGTGCATGCACACAAAAACTCATACCTTAAATAAAACCGTGGGTCTTAAAGGTGCCACTGGACTCAAACTTTATTCTGTTGCATCAGGCCAACGTGACTACCCACCTGAACATATTGATATAGTTATTCATTTCCCCCCATTTTGGACTGGTTTCAATAGGAAACACATTTATAGCCCCCACCGCAAAATGAGTCTCCACCCCCCACCCCCAGCCCAGAGAAGCCTGGGATCCCTTTCTGTCTACCCACCCACCCACCCACCCACTCAACTCTCAGAAAGAAAAACAAAAAGGAAAAGGAAAAAGGAACAAACCCTCCACTTTCAATCCAGGGGCAAAGCAGGGGTGGTGGCAAGCCTCGTGAGCCTCAGGAGAGGGCTTCAAGAGGTGTGGTTTGGCCACCCCTGGCCCAGAGGATGGATCTTTATGTAGATCCAGCTGATCTGGCGACATGGATCCATTCCACTGTAACCTCGAGTTTGCAATATATGGTCTACCCCTGAAGACATATTGGAAACTATAGATGGTGAAGAATACCACAGCTTGTTTACTACTGGGATTCAGGTAAATTATGCAGATTACACCAATTCTGCAGTCACTTCATTTGGTATTGTTTTCCCGGTTCAGTTCAAAGTTGTTTATGGCCTAGGACTTACTTATCTACAGGGCTACCTCTCATGACTTCCTCTGAGACAACTTAGCTTATTTGAGCAAGGTCTCCTGAAGGTTCAACTCTGCAAAGGGGTAAAAACAGCTGCCTTTACCAGAGCATTTTCTCTTGCAGCTCCCATCTCATGCACTGCACTGTTCATTCTAAATATATAATACTGGTCTTTAATGCATTGCTTATAACTCTGTAATCCACCTTGAGTTTCAACAAGAAAGGCAAACAATGGTGTGAATCTGACCTTCCTCCAAGGATCCTTATCACTGTTCTACACCACCCTGAGCCCTATTTTTCAAGGGAAGGGTGGCCTAAAAGTCAAATTTAATAAATAAATAAATAAATAAATAGAATTCCTTCCTTCTTCTGCTGCAGAAAGAGCCACTTAAGTTGGAAAAGGATCCTAATATGAATAGTCACAAAATAAAGGATAATAAAGAATTTTAAATATTAAGCCTAAACAAACACTACAGCTTATAAAGGTTTGTCCTGTTGAAGTATTGAAACTTTGGTTATGTGATACAGCCTGTGATATTTATATTTTTATTTCCTCTCTTAAATGGATTTGTATATATTTATATGTGTATTTACTGAGAAACTTAAGGTTTGTAATTTCATAATAAATGAAAATAAAGTCTAAAATAATATGCACATTCCAACAAAGTACCTATGGTTGATCAGCTCTTACTTCTACTTAGTTAACAAAGAGATAAATGTGACATCTTCCAGAAGAACTTTTTCTGATTTTCAAATACACATAGAAATGGAGAAGAAAAGATGGGATATACTAAGGATTTAAATCACTGTCTCCAGAAGGGAAAGCTTCTTGCTGTTGGCAAGAGGTGTAAAAATCCTTTAACAAGGGGAAATGGTTGGAGGACTATTTTGTGTGTATTTTTGAACAGATCCTTTAACAATGACTTTCCAAACAAAAGAACAAAGGGGAAATGGAAATAACATAAAACAGAAGCCCATCAGGAAGATTCTACCCCAAAATGCAAATTGTACAACGTAGAGAACTGAAAGAGAATCATGGTAGGGAAAAAATAGCACAGGTTTCCAAGGGAGCGTTCTCCAAGAACACATGCAAACAGATTTGCAAAGGTCTCCTGTGAGATGGTATTTCTGAAAGGACTGGCACTGTGAAAAGAGGTTACTACTCTTCGGTGTCTAACAGTATGGCATATAATGTTCAACATGGTGAACTAATCAAGAACCAGACCTCCTGTAGCCTCTTTCTCATCCTTCACACAAGTGCCATTTAAACAGCCAATGAAATCACAATGACACTGTTGGCATGGGTTACGGTCATGAGGCAGAACCTGTGTGTGCAAAAGAAAAGGTAATCAGATTACAAAGTAAATCTGCTGATAATGCAACTTGACAAAACTAGGAAACTCCAATATTACCTATATTATCTCCAAAAGCTTATCATACTCTACAATCTCTTTCCCCAGCTCTCTTCCTATTGTCAATTATAGTGATACTGCACTGCTTTGAAACACAACATGCCCCTACTGATTCCAAAGTAGTGTTTACAGGATTACAGCCTTTGTCAATTCAAGATGAAATATTAGCTGAAGGCCATGAGCCTCTAGAGCATTCTTTCATATCAACACAATTTAGTTTCATATTCTTATAAAGCTCAGCTTTACAGATTTCCCACTGTGAAAAGAAACAAGTAGGCTGTCGGAATTAGAATAATAAAGTGGCAATCAAAACTGTGTGTTTTCTATTTAACAGCCTAGCTCCTCTCCTTGAACTGATGGTTTGGACTGTAGGACAGTGGAACATACTTTACCCCTTTGGGCCTGAAGTACCCATCAATGCAGGTTTCACAATTGATGCCTGCAGTGTTTTGTGTGCAGTTAATGCACACTCCACCTCCAATGTATTCCCCATGGATATTCAGACTCTGTTTTTTGTCTGCCACAGTCTGATCATAGTAGCATTCTTCAGCCTTCCCATGGCAATTGCATGCTGAAAAAAAGAACGGTGTGTTACCAAACATTACAGTCTCTAAATATATAGAAATAACATTAACTGAAATATTAATAATTTCTTTAAACATTTGACATTTTTGCAAATGAGATAAGTGCCTGCCATGCAAAGAGCCTTCCTGCTCCTAAAATCAGTAACAAGCAACTAACAAATACTGTAGGGATGTACATTCATTTCAAATTGACCCCCCCCCCCCCCCCCCCCCCCCGGCCTGGCTCCCCAAATTCCCATTTGATTTCATTCATTTTGAAGCAAAACTGAATGGGAATCAAAAAACTAATAATCCTATTCTGTGTTAGCATAACTTTCAAAGGGGACATATTTATCAGCAAAACTTCTTTGCTTTCCATTCAATTTGGAGGAAATTTTCAAGGGTTGTGGCCTTTTCCAAGAGCCATGTGCCTGTCTAATAACAGACAGGCAGGAGAAAATGTTCAGTTTTATACATGATTAAAGGCAAAATACATTTCTGGCTGTGACAGCTTTGATTTATATCCAGGGGTAATTTCATAGAAAAAGAGGTGCAGGAGCTCATTAGCATATTAGCATAACTTCGCAGGAGTGGGAACCAAGGACGTCAAGGCCAGAGAAGTGCAATGAGCAGGGATCATTTCATAGAAAAAGAGATGCAGGAGCTCATTAGCATAACTCAGCATGACTTATTTGCATCTGCCACACCCCCTGACATCACTAGAATTGTGTCAGAAGGAAACACCCACCGCCCAGGCTCCTTTTCAAAAATCTCCAGGTATTTCCCAACTCAGAGCTGGCGAGCTCTTCAGAAGACCAAAGCTGCTGTGACATAGTAGAAGATGCAGCCTCTCATGAAGGGCCTTCTACATGGCAACCAGTACCTTGAATGGACCAGCAACTGATGGAGTGACTGCAGGATAGGTTGTTCTAGAATGAACACAAATGAAGCTGCCTTATACTGAATCAGACCCTTGGTCCCTCAAGGTCAGTATTGTGAACTCAGACTAGTAGCAGCTCTCTAGAGTCTCAGGTTGAGGTCTTTCACATCACCTACAGCCTGGTCCTTTTAACTGGGGATGTCAGGGATTAAACATGACAAGCAGAATTTTTTTCCAATGAGCCACAGCCCCTCCGCAGTTGTGACATGTATTTCCTGCCTTGCACCCACTAGTAATTGGGCTGCAGGTTTTGTATCAACTGAAGTACAGCTGGTCAGCTTTTCCTCAGTAGTCCCAATATTCTGTTTTTGTTTTTTTTAAACCCCCAAGAGGGTAATTGTATTGGTTTTTCAATAGACTACATAACTACAACAGAAAATATAGGAAGGGGGACTACAACTAGGGAAAAAGAAAAGATACCCACACTAACTAAAAACCAAAGAGTAGGAGATCATTTCCGTGTTAAACTACATGTTAGTAAATACGTGTTAGTATAACAATATACTTGTGAATTATTTTTAACTACTGCTTCAATGTTAGTAATTTTAATATTTTGAGAACACTTCTTGAGCATCTTCTTATTTTCATAGGGCTATTTTCAGAGTCCTTCTGCCCTTACTTCTGTCTTTTTTCTCTGAAATCATACACCGTTTTGCTTGCTTCCACACCCGCTTCCTCCCCAGAGTCCTCCCCCATTCCAGAGGTAGCAGAGTCACTCGATTTTGTTTCTTCATCTTTGAGTTCTGCTTCTGGCCCCAGCTGTTGTCTCAAAAATTCCTTTGCTTTAAAGATGGAGTCAATCTTCTCTCTTTTATCATTAATTTAAAAGATTACACCTTCAGGGATCGCCCAGCGATATTGTATTCCGTTTGTCTGAAGAAATGAGATTAATTCTTTGTAGCTTTCCCTCTTTTGACGGATTTCAAATGGGATGTCTTTTAGAGTCTTAATATTTGTATTCCCAAATTTCAGTGGATTTGCCGAAGTACCCTTTAATATAACATCTCTGGTCTGTCTTCTTGCAAACTTGACTACAATCTCCCCAGGCAGGCTATTTTTAAAATGTAATTAGAGTATATCCGATAGGCAGACTCTATCTTTTATTGTTTCATCTGCTGATAAGCCTGTTACTGGAGTGATGATCTCTCCCAGAGTCTTCTTCAAATCTTCTTTTTCCTTTTCAGGCAGTCCCTGAAATCTTAGAGTCATGTTTGCTTTCTCCATTTGCAGCTGAAGTAAACGGTTTTCCTGCAGCTTTTGTTTTATTTCCACCTCTGTCACTCTTTTCTTCATCTTCTTGTTCCCGGTGTCCATCTCTACCAGCTTCTCAGTTGCCTGCTCCACTTTTTTCTCCATCTCTGCCAGCTGGCGCTGCTGCAAGGCGAAGTTTTGGTTTAGTGTGGCCAGTTGCTGGTTAATACCACCGAGCTGCTCCAATACCAGTTTCAGCATATCCACTAATG